GTTCAAATTAGATGTTTGTGATGTCAAAATACTAAGTCTATAGTTTCATATGAATTAGGAACTCAAATTACTGATATTGAAAAGCTAGAATATAAAATAAGAAGCTCTTGTCTTTTCTAATTGCTAATATATTGTTCATGTAATGAATCAAACACAGTGGCATCCCACCCACCTCTTTCCATTTTTGGAAATGCTCCCTCATATACACTTACTTCTATATATGAAATGAATAACCAATTGAAAGCTCATAATGTCCCCTAGTGGCTTTCTTAGCCATTTTAAATTCTTAGGATGCCATTTCTTTCTCTTGAACCAAGATTTCAAAGAGCTAGGGTGTGTCTTTAGTATGCTTTAAATTTTATATTTTTAGACTGAAATACATCTTAGTTACTAAGCTTGATAAATTATACTGGAATTCTATGGTATTAATGTAGCAATTTATGATTTTTGGTTATTTCAAAATGTATATATATAAAACCTATCCTCCGGATGTGAAATTTGATAAGGCTTAGCAACCTACGGCAACAAGTACAAAGGTCATAACTAGAAGAGATATTTGTTTGCTTTACTTCTTTATTTAATGTTCTATGCTTAAGAAAAATAAGTTTAAAAACTTGTTTCTAAATAGCAATAATCTATATACATATATAATGTATAGTAATTGAAATGCGACTGTAGTTTACAAAATACTAGTCTACTAAAACACAGCCAAGACAGATCACTTTGTAAAGACTAAAGGTCAGTTTTACATTCTTGGATACAGTAACATGAGTGCACATGCACCAAGTCATTGCAACTTCTGTAATTTTAGCCAGGTATGGCTGAAAGGTCAATATAATAAAAGATAATAAATATATATAGATGTATAATGTTATGAGATTTAAGCTATTTAGTCTGAACATTTGTGTTTTTGTGTTATAATATGTAGTAATTCTAGAACAAAAAAAGCATAATTTATATTTATTTCCTACTTTTTTTATGGTGGTTATGAGATCAGTCAAATCTACTGAACCCATACAGAGATTCATTACTGAAAATAACAGATAAAATATAAAGTTTTTTCTTAAGAAATGTTTCATAATTATCTGGACATTATAAAAATTTTCCATGTGAAAATTTGAAAATGTTCTTATGCGTAAAAGTATTTTTAATCTTAAAATGAAAATTGCTTTGTATGTTGGATAAGCAACATGCAAAAAGAAAAAAAAAAAGACATGAGAAAAACATTGCTTTATAAACCTTAAGACTTAATAAAAAAATTATATTTTGCATATGAAAGTATTGTAATGTTTACTGATAATCTGCCCAATTCATAAACATATGCTTACTAATTTAAAAGTTATAGCATGAAACTATAACAAGCATAAAATTATTAAGAGGTCAGTTCTAGGGACCTAGCCCATGCTGAAAGAGATAATGGTCTTTAACATCCCATTCACTGGTTTCTCCAATTTCCTTAGTCAGGATTATTCTTTAATCTCAAGGGATTTTTAAGTCAGGACACTACTATAACATGGATTCCTCTATCGCCACGTCATCCAGAGTTCCATCTTTTCATAATTGCCTTGCTTCAAGGATGGGGTGCTTATACCAACAGTCAGGAATACCAGGGTCTACTCATGGATGAAGAGGAGTCCCTAAACAATGTTTTAGTCCTTCTTGCTCTTCAACAGGCAATGCCTCATGATTTGGGCTTATTAAGGGGAAAAGCATCAGGCTTCACTCTGACAATTTTGTGGTGGTGTTTTGTCTTTCTTATCGAGGAGGCACTTAGTCCACGGCTCTTTGTCTTTCTCAGGAACATTCCTATCTTATCACCCTACTAGCTTGCCATGTTCCACGGGTGATGCCTGTGGTAGCAGGTCAATTGTCTCAATCCAAACAGATTCTCCTGACAGAATAGATGCTGCCTTGCAAGGTTCTGTTGGATTGGCTCTCATTTTGCAACTGATTGGTGGATTCACTTCTCATTAGATCACCCAACTACTGGCAATTTGTTTTCCAGTTACTCATCTTTGGGCTTTGGCAAGAGATGGATTCCATCAAGACAGGATGGGATTAAAAGTAAGCCTTCTCTCTACTTCATATGTTACCCAGGGTACTAAATATAACTTGTTCTGACCCAATGTCGGGTCCTGTCGATAGCACCAGATTGGCTGCTACACCCTGGTTTGTGCTTCTGCAGTACCTTCCGGAGTGTGCATCTCTTCCACTTCTTAGGTTATCTCATGATTTTATATAGTATACCTGGCTATCCAGAAGCTCAAGCTTCAGGCATTGGGTTTTTTGCTTGGCATCTGGGTTTAATTTCTAAGATTGCCATGTATCTGTTTCAGTTTTTGCTTAGTTCGAAATCAACAAAAATGATATGCATATCGTCAATGGTTTATTGAGAGGAGGTTGAATCCATTTCAATTAGAAGTGCCAACCATACCTTTTTTTTTGACCTGGCTTTATGTCAGAGGTTCGTGCATCTTCCACAATTGCCCTGTTTAAGGCAGCCTTATCAACTACTGTTTGATTGTTGCAACTACATATTTTTGAGTCCCCAGTACTCTCCAGATTCCTGAAGTCGCTTTGGGTCCTTGGTCCCAAATGACCATTCCAGTTGCCTAACAGGTATATTAAGGTTACATTACATACACATTCTCAACACCTGTTTGTGACTTGACTCTTATATGCCATGTATCCCTTTTACTTGAAGGTTTATTTTACATGGCTGCTGACCTACAGACATCACAGGTCAGAGTGATTTGTGCTGTTTGTCCACAAACTGCTTTCTCTCTACATCCTCAGACCAGTTCTTCTTACCCAAGACACTGTGACTATTTTCATTGCTACCTTTCAGGGTCCCTTAACTTGTTTTTACAGGATCCCACCCTGTGACAAGTGTTGCCCAGGCAGATGTGCTTTTATCAAACAATTCTGCACTAGCAGCCACTAATTCAATATACTTTGTACGGGTTGCAACAGGCTCTGTAGAAATGAAGTGTTCCATAAGACTGCCTAGAGGCTGACTGGGTGGTATTACTTTACTATGCTGGACCACCACTCATGGACTATCATGAGTAAAGCATAAGGGAAAACTGCCCGTTCCTGGGAATCATTGGATTGAATAAATTGGGGTTCGTTTGCTTTTAAAAATTTAGGGAACTTGCTTCACCTATTTCACTGTTCCTCATGACTCCTCAACACACATTACCACACCCTGTTTCCAGTCACTTGGGTGATGGACAGAGGCTTTTCCTCCAGAGTGTTAAGAGTGAATTCCTCTACTCTTGGAGATGAGGGTGAACTTTGGGGCCCTCCTATCCCAGTCCCTGATGTCAGTAAGAGTGGCACCAGCCTACATGGGAGCCTACTCATAATATCGGTTCAGATTTTATGCTTAGCTATCTGATTGAGTTGAGCATGGCCCTTCTTTTTGATCAATATTGATTCATTACATTGTTCATGGAAGAAGGTCCACCATCTTCTTGTAATTCCAAATGCTGTGTGGTCCCATCCTGGGTCCTTGGTTGAGCACTGCTGTTCCACATCCCTCCATGATTTCAGGGGCAAGTGGAATTTATCTTGGTTGGGTAGTGAGGATAAGTGTTCACTATTCCAGACTGAATGAGTTCTGTTTCCTTAGGTTGAGTAAGGCATACACAATCCTGTCATTCCAAGTCTGGGGTGTTGCCTTTCATACTTCTTCAAGTTGAGGAGAAGGTTTGTCCACTTCTGTGTTGCTCACTTTCTCATCATGATTCCGGTGACTCCGAATGCATCACTCAATGGCTACAGGTTGGGGTCAATTCATAAGTATATATATGTATATAGTTTGTGGTCCAATTGCCTAAGCCACCAATGGGGGATATAGGGACTATGGCTCTTTAATTCCAACTCAGAGTAATGGAACCTCAGCTATATGGTTGGGGTCTGACCTATAGTGATGATAAATCAGGTGAAATTACACCCACAATACAGCAATTAAGTTCTGGGTGAAGAGCATACCTGTTCTGGATGTAATGTGGTTCCCCCACTAGGATGCCAATCTTCTGTTGACACACCCATGATCTATGCAGATGCTTTCTGTATGGATAATGCCCTCACCAGCTCCTTCACCCTTTCAATGTGGGATTGTAGCTGTAAGTTGGAGAAGAGGTAAGTATGTTTTGGAAGTTAACATTTTTCTACATTGAAAATGTATTTCCAATAATACTTGCCTCCTTTCTTACTCTCCCACCCTTCCTCCCCACTATGAGCTGGTGTTAGAGACTGGGATTGAATCAATGTACAAAACGTGATAACATTATCTGAATGATGTGCTTGTATACTGTACCAGGTGGAGAGGGCTACAAAATATATATCACCAAGGGCAATTGAGTGGGGTATAAAAGACTAAAGCAAGCAAGAAAAAATTAGACCAATGCTTAGGTAGGCAGTCGAGTAATAGCAATAAGTGTGAAAGGAGATAAGTATTATTGGAAATATGTTTTCAATTTAGGAAAATATGAACTTTGAAATGATCTCTGTTTAAGTGTAAAAAGTGAATTTTAATAACTTAGTTTACTATTCATTATACATCATGCTTTTTTATTGTTTGGTGAACCAAAAAAATTAATTTCTTTTATTTTTGTTAGGTTTGCCAAAATAATTAGTTTCATTTTATTGTTACATCTGGCAAAAAAATTAATTTCCTTTATTGCTTGGTTTGCCTGTATTTTTGTGTGTTCATATCTCTAAAGTAATCAGTCATGTCTGGTTTCAGGCTGTGGCTTTAGATGGTACATACTATCAGAAGAATGGATTTATCTCGGGAGGCAGCACGTGAGTCTAAGTATTATAACATAGGTTTTTGGTATTTTCTGATATAAAAGGTCACATGTAAATTTTTCACTGTAAACATTTTAAATCTTTCACCACATAGTTGTGCAGGTAATGGTTCCTGCAGCCAATGTGTTGCTGAAACGTTTTATATCTTTCTCCACATAGTCATTTAAATAATGGTCTATGCAGCTAGTTTATTGGTATAACAGGAAGCTTTCCAGTTTCACAACAGTTAAAATATTTTAAATCTTTCTGCACGCAGTAGTATAAATAATGGTTCCTGCTGTCAATTTGTTGGCATAACAGGACACTTTCTAGTATAAACATATTTAAAGTATACTTTTATCTATGCTTATCAAAAAATAAAACTTATGGTTCTGCTATCATTATTTTGTATTACATGTATTATACTCAAAATTAATTTCAGATTTATCACAGTGAGCATATCAGTTATCTTCCAGCTTAGGCCCAAAGGTTTCACATGAAACAAGCTTTTTGAACCTTATACCAGAAGTATTACAGTAATATTCTGAACTTTTATTTAATTCATGATAAATAGTTCCAAGAGCTAAAGAATTATATTATTATTATTTTTTTAATGACATCAAGATAACCCATACACATCTTTACAGCATTTTATAACATACTTGCTTAGTATTCTTTAGCATAATTTATTCTTTAGAGACCTTGCCAAACGAGCTCGGCGATGGGATGAAAAAGCTCTGCACAACCTCAAGTATCGAAAAGAAAAACTAACAGAAGAGTTGAAAGAGATGGTGAAAAAAACTAGGAAGGAGTCAGACTTGAACACCATCCAGTCACAGATACGGGGGCTTGAGACTCGTCTCAAGTACTCAATCACAGACAAAGAAAATACAGTAAGAATTTTTTCTATGTATGCTAGATAGGTTTAATGTGTTACTAGCTTAGGATTGGTATGTAAGTTTATATTCAATTTTTCTTGTTATGATGAGTGCAAACAAGGTATTTTATTGTTTTTATTTTATATCAAGAAATATTCCTTTGTGCATGAATTAAAAAAGAATAACTTCACTCAAACATGAAATATGTCTTTTCAAATTTTATATTTCTTTCTCTATTGACTTGAGATACTGTGTTAAGAAGTGCAAATGCATAACCTAAAACAATGTGAAAGCTCATGAAGTCTAATGTATACAATGAAAACATCACATGTTACTGGCACTTGTATATGGAAGAACATTATGCTAACATAATAGTAAATTCATGACAATTTATAATTATAATGTAATGGTTATATTTTGAGTTACATACTACATGTTTCGACAAAACGTTTGTCTGTCTTATTCAGACCATTGTTGTGTTTGAAACATGTATATTCCTCAAAATAAAATCAATTCATTATACTAATAAACCATTGTTTGTCAAATTACTATTATATGTTACTTGTGTCAACTGGATTTGTTTAGTATGGAGTGGTGGGCAGTATTCAAGTTTTTGTGCCTTTATTGAAGGTCTCAGCATGGAGACTGAAAACTCGTTCATTTGTTGACTCCTGGCAGAAGCCATCCATAAAAAACTCGATGCCAATATTATGTACTTGGTTTAACGCTATCGCCACAGGTATCCTTTACTGCACGACACTTTGTTTTAGTGTCTTAGATTCAAAATTTTATTAAACTACGTTTTGTTTATGTTATACCAATTAGTATAGCATAAAATCTTATCTAATAATCCATATTTTAATAGTATATAAGTGTTAAGTTCTTAAATTTGATAAGGCAATATTTAAAAATAATCCAGAATTTCCCCTGGTGTGAGAAATGACATTTTATCTCTAGGCATCCCATCTTTTCTAATTTATTCACCACCCGTTCAAAAAGTATAACATTTAACGTAAATTACTCACTATAAAATCATCACTGGCGTGCAGAGGTTCTATGATGCCAGGGGCCTTGTACCTAAGACCTTGGGGAAGGGCGGAAAGGGTTCTACTATTCCATTCAACTCTTTGCGTTGGATGCCCTCCCGATATGGATGCTCGGGGCCCCAGCACCTTTTGCCCCCCCTCTCTCTGCACGCTACTGCTCCTGCCACACCCACCTGTCACAGCCTCTCTTTCAGGATTTGTTAATAGTTCTCATTTATGTTTAATCATATATTACATACAATCAATAGAAAGTGAAGGTTTTATCTATCAAATGATATATAATGTTGTGTTCTGAACAGATAACCGTCAATTTCACTTATAATACATGGTTTATTCCTGTGGGAAACTTAACAACTAGCTTGGATGACTTTGTAACAGCTCTTGTCACACAGTTAGAAAACCAGAAAAAATTTAAGATTTAAGGGAAATTATCTGCTTTGTGCATGTTTATTAGTATATGTTCTTGGGTGCATTGCTATAAAAAAAGTAGGGTTAGATTTCATAGACAATCAACAGGAAAAAAAAAAAGAAGATTAGGTAAGTACCTTATTTCTTATTTTTCATGCTTATTCTGTATTTATTATTATAAAAGTAACTAAAATGTAAAAATAGAGATCTTTTTAAGTTAGTGAAGGTTAGATGAGGTAAAATGAATAATAATAATATAATAAAAATGTTTCATGAGACACACACGTGAGCAGCTCAGAGTAGCTCGTGGGTAATGTAATTCCATAGCCTAACATGAGATGCACGTTCCTCGAGTGATTTACAACTTATAATGGCATAGATAGTAGTTAGACATGGTTTAAAGAGTTTAAATCTTCTTAGGATAAACAAATGTAGTTTCACGCTACATATGAAGTCATTCTGGAAAGAAAAAGAGGGTAATTTAGATATATTTCTATTTGGGGGGGATTTACAAGGTCAGTCAAATTGACTAACCTTGTAAGAAGTTAGGGTAGAGACAATAACAGATAAAATATAACGTCTTACTGAAAACAAACATTTTGTGTGTATTTAGGAGGTTTTATAAATCACACAAATTAAATTTGATATGAATAAAAGTATTTTTAATCTTAACATGAAAATCACTTTGCATATGGACTATTCAACACAAATACTCAATATATTCATGGACAAATCTTTATTTTAGTTTATTAAAAGTACTTCACTAAAAATATGATTTTGGTATGTGAAAGACTTATAATGTTAACTGAAAGACTGCCAAAGTTAAAATTATTAAACCTATAAAGACTTTAAATGAGTACAAAGAGGTCACGTGGTTGATCAAATTGACCAATCATGTATCAAGTGAGTTAACTCTATCACACCCTGATGAGTACATCCCATCTCAAAGGCAAAATTACAGTATTAATTTTAAAAATAAACCATTAGTTGTTCTTTCACACATTCAACTTCCCAGTTGAAATTAATTCAATAAAAAAAGCTTTGTTTATTTAATTTGTATATAAATATTGTTAAGACAGTGGAAGTCACGTGACGCTGGTGGCACGTGATGAATTTCTTGAATGATCGGGGAAGACTGAGTGTGTTCGGGAGGCCCCCTTTGTTAGTATATAAACCTGGCAGAGAAGCCAGCGATAGATAGATAATTAAAGAAGCAAACAGTAGTGATGGTAATATAAAGTTATCCAGATTGTGAATCACTGTGATTTATAG